ATGACTAATTCAATCACTGGCCACCTGGTTGAACTCAATCTTCAACTCCCTTCCTGTCCCCAGAGGCTGAACTGGTTCAAAGCCTCTAATCACATTATTTCATCTTTCTAGTGACCAGCCCACTTCCTAAATCATGTCTTCTCATTAGCATAAGCTCAGGTATAATCCAAGGAACTCATAAACAACAGACTCTCCTGTTACTTCAAGAATCCCAAAGATTTAGAGTCTTCCTCCCAGGAACCTGGAATAAAGGGCAAATTCTTTATTATTCAACAGACTGAAATGCACATTTAACATGGGAATGAGGTAGTCACAGGTGACTTTGGAAAGAATGGTCAGAGGAAAAAGTAGCCAGACTGCCACGATTTATAACATAGATTAGGGGTATGGAAGGTGAGAAATGTGTAAGAAGTCGATCACCAACAAGAGCATAAAATGACTAGAGGTGCTGGAGTACAAAGCTGAGGTAAGAAGGATGTACAAGTAACTTAGAAAATGCCTTCTCCCACCAGGAGCAATACTTAGGAGGTTCCTTTGCTGATATGGTCTCATTTGAGTTATCCTATCGTTAGTGTTCTTAGAGTCAATGTAATATTTAACCTGTTGGTCCTTCTTAAAATTATTCTCACTTACCTTTGATTTCCCCACATTCCAATTTATTTTACCCTTTCCAACATTTCCCTTATAACAAAGTCTTCATTGCCACCTCTTTATCTGACTTAATTATGCAGAAATACACAAGTCATTCTGATTTAGAAAAGATTATGGACCTCTAATTTTGGTAATATGATAGACCAGGTATCTTGAAACACCTCTTTCACTAAAAAAAATAAATAGTATAGGAGAGAATTTTACAAACAGCCTTTTAAGAGTATGTCTGGACTCAACCAATCACCTAAAACAACCTGATAGCTAGAAATCAGAGAAATAAGATGGCAAAGATGCTTTCAGTTAAAAAGAGGCTTTAGTTTTAACAGATGAGAAGAATGAGGACTAAGACCTTGAGGGTGTGCTACTTGGTTATAACTGTAATTTCCACACTAAGACCCATAAAAGGGAAAGTCCCTCATTTAGGTAGTTGGGGCAAGGGAGGAGAGACAAGTGAAGGAAAACAGCAAGCAAAATTATCTTTGCTTGGGATCTCAAAGGGCAGGGACAGTTTTCCCTGAGAAGTTATAACAATAAAACTTGGCTTCATGTGAGTTTAGAGTTTCATTTAACATTACCACAGAATCTATAAAACTTCAAGCCAAGAATTAATGTAAAGTTGTTCCAAGTTAGTAAAGCCCTTGGGATCCCTGGCAGAAGGAATAAAAATCCATGCCTCAGAAACACACCCTTATCCCATGTTCACAGAACTCCTGATGATAAACTCTTGCCAAACATGGGCTTACAATCCAAATTATAAAACAAAGGAGGAAACAAATTATGAACAAAAGTAAACAGAAATGAAGAGTTAGTGAATTAAGCTACCAAGAAGTACTATTGGCTATAGTGTATAAAGTATTATGTTCAGAGCTTAAAAGGCAAAAGAAGATAAAAAACAGAAAGGAGATTAATCATACATTATAAGTTACAAAAATGGGACTCCAAATAATTTCAAAATGTTGGTTTTAAAAGTCCTTAAACAGGATATTAGACAGAGCTAAAAAAAAAATGAGAAATTGGAAACAAGTTACCTAGAATGCAGCATACAAAAACAGCAATATGAAAGAGAACTTAGGACACATGAAGACTGGATAAGAGTGTATCATACGTACAGTATACATAAGGTGAGGGGAAAAGAGTTGTCAGGACCAGAAATGAGACAGAATCAATATGCAAATTAGATAATTATTCAGATTTTTCTAGAGTAAAAATATGAATTAACTTTCATAAAGGACAATAGATCCAAAGCAAGGGAAAAAGTCTATATAGACACATCAGAGAGACTAAACACATAGGAAAAATAAATTATCTCAAAAGCATTCAGAGAGAAAAGGCAAATTACTTTCAAAGGAATACAATTAGGTTGGTTAGACTTCCCAAAAGCAGCATAAAAGCCAGGAGTCAGTGACATAACCTAATTTCAAAATAGTGAGGGTGGGGGAAAGAATTGTAGACTTAGAATTTTATACCCAGAAAAACTATCATCATTAATGTAAGACAGATATAATCCTGATGGAATTTGGTCCCGATCTATGGAAGCCATCTTGCCTCCCGGTAGGGCCTGACAATGTAATATAGGCAAAAAGTAAAACTGGGTCCTTGTGACACTTTTGAGCTCTACAACCTTAATTGCCAGTCTTAATCGCGGACATCTGAGTCTCTTGAGGCAGTCTCTTTACCAGTTTAAGTTTCTTTAATTAAGCAAAATGGAACATAAGTTAAAACAGAGTTATTGTTAGCATACATAACCCACCCCTCCCTAAAGATAATCACAGTGTAGCTTGTTCAGAAAATGTGTCTGAAAGGGACCTTTAGGTAGAACCTGAAAATTAAAACCTGTGAAGAAAAATCATCAGTTAAGGAGTCTGTAGAAAACTAAGATAACAAAAGGCAATGAGTTAAAAGGAGGCGTGGAAAACAGTCTGAACACTGTGTGACTGTGTTTATGTTGTTATGATTGTAAGTCAGTACAGTGTGAGAGAACTGGCAGGACATAGTGCCTGTAGTTAACTGAGAATACTGGGACACTATCCTAATTGTTTTAAGAAAAATTAAAATAAACCAAAGAGGTTACAGGATGTCTGCAATGGACAACCACATGACTAATAGCAGACTCTTCCAGATTAGCTGAATCTAGCCTTGGGCTCTTTTACAACTTTCAAAGTTGTAGATAACCAATAGCAATGCAAAACAATTCTTACCTATAAACATGCAAATAAATTATGTCTACTGGAGTTTCAATTGACTCTCCCATGAAAAAGTCAGTTTTCTATTTTAATTCACTTCAACATACCTTTTTACTTTGTATAAGTGTTTTTCCGGATTCAACTTCAAACCAGTTGTAACATCTGTCTGGTTCTCTCATTAATAAACTTGAAAAAATTATTAAACATGGATGTATATAAAACTCATGATTTTACCCTTTATGTTTTAACACCAACAAAAACAAGGCAATATTTCTAAAAGAAACCGTATATGAGGTTTACTTAAACAAGTTGTAACGTTTTGTTCTGAAGCAGCTTCTTAATCTAACCAGAAAATTACAGATTTCATTGAAATATAATTTGTTTCATTTAAGATGCATTATGTGAGTAAACCTTACAAATTATATTCCAAGAAACAATCTAATAGATACTCCCTCAAATCTGCAAAAAGTAACTTCTATGTATTTTAATATGTTCTATTAAATCACATGTAAGACAATGATATCCTTAGAATATTAATTGGAACAAGATAAAAGGCTTCTTTTGTCTTTTAAGACATACTACCAGAAGAATCACTTTATGGACAATATCTCAGAAAAACTTTCTGCTTATTACTCAACAACAACAAAAAAAAATCACAAATGTGTGCAATTATTATAGTGAGTTTAAGTGAATTTTCCAGAAGGTAACCCAGGCAAAAAAAAAAAAAATTGTATAATATGCATTGGAATGAATGTTGGTCTACCAAATTGTATTGTCATCCCTAAGAACTTTTCCAAATGCGCAAAATTTACTCAAATTCTTAAGTTGAAAATGCTTTGCTTCTTTATGCCTTCTCACCACCCTTGCAACTGATTACCTTGCCTCTACCATAATTGAGCTGTCTAGAGAAGAGGAAGGAGTCAAGGGGGAAGGCACAAAAGCCAGGGGAAAGTTTTGTGGTCATTAATGGTTCCTGGAACACAAGTTTCACTACCTTAAATACCATTTATCCTTTTGTTTAAAGGCAAATCAAAATATTTCATTTGGTCTATGAAATTCTTATACAGTTTTAAATTTAAAGTGAAATTCATGTTGCAGAAGGAAGAGATGAAGTTAGGGAAAATTTCCTATGGCAATTCAAATACACATGTGTTATTGAAGTTACAGACTGTGTTTCCTAAATAGGTTTTAAAGAGGAGAAAAAAAAAAAAAAAAAAACTTCTGGGCACCCAGATAACTAGGAAGGCTTGCCTCCTGTTGGTCTATAATCTTAAAGGAAACTATTACATAGATGTTATAATTCATCTTAAAATAATACCCTTTAAGCACTTAGTATTAATACCCTTTAAAGCACTTAGTATTCTAATAGTTAACATAATTTCAAATCCTAAAATAATCTTACAAGTATTAGTTTCTATATTTTCACAGGTCGGGAAAATGGACTCAGAAAGTTAAAAACACGATATCACTAGTAAATAAAAAGACAGATTTGGGCCTAGGTCTGTCCAACTTCATAGCCTATTTCTACTATACAATACCACGGTTTGGCAATAAATTTCACTAAGTCTCCAATTCAGACTGCAAACAAGTTTAGTATCTATTATCATATTTACGTAATTTTACTTGGTAATAGAAGGGAAAAAATAAACATGCTCCAAAGGTTACAATAGGTCTTTTGCTATCCTGTGTTTATTTTGGTGAAACAAATGGAAACAATTGTCATCTCAAGATGATTTACTCTAAGGGCTATGAAAATCTTATATAGTATATACTAGAAAACAAACCACTTCTGAAACTTTAACACAAAATTGAGTACAATGGACCACATTATACATATCCTATACTTCTGAGAGATTTCTCAGGTATTTTTAATATAACTGTCTTTTAATTTTCATTAAAGTTTCATTCATATCTATAACTGTAATAACTTTAATACATTCTTCTCCAAATACTTCATATCACATTATGGTAGATAACTATAGCAAAAGATATGTTCCAGAACAGTCTCAATCTATAAAGTTCCTACAACCAATCACCATAACATCTTTAGGTCATCATGCACATTTTAAATAATTTGACATTTAAACAGAATTGAATCAAAATTCAGCAAATGAACCACACTACAGTGTTTGTCCCTTCTATCTAGTCTCAAGTAAAAAGACTTACCCCGTGTTCCTTAGCAGCTGTGACAACTTTAAGGAGGACATCTTCCTCAACAAATGGTCTCACTGCATCATGGATAATCACTACTTCTGGCTTAGAGAGTTTAGAGTTGAGCTGATCTTCTGCCAGTGCTTTCAGTCCACTGAAAATTGACCTGTGGCGGGTCACTCCAGCTTCGACCAGTGAGATGCGTTTATGCTGATACTTCTGAATAATACTTTTCATGACTTCCATGTTCTCTCCAGTTACTGCCACAACAATGTCCTTTATCCAACATACTCTAAAAGGAAAGTATGTGTATAATTCATAAGTTAATTCTTAGACAACTAAAGTAACAGAAAATTGAATCACTAATATTGGTATATTTACATAGGGAGATTAAAAGCTGCAAGTGAATAAATCAGTTTTATGTATTTTTATTAGGTCTAGTAAAGAGGCTGATGAAAAAGAATCAGTGAGTGTTTAACACTATAGCTCTAGACAGTGTTTCATATTATGTAGAATATCCTATATGACACAGTATATGCATATAGTATATAGTACTATCAGATGTCATTTTTTTAATTTGAATAATTAGAATATCAGATTGTATGAAAAATAGCCTATAGTAGGAATATGCTTTTAAATTTTTCCAAATACTTTTCCCTTCAATGAAACAATTCAAAGCACTTTTGAGATCCAAAAGTTGACTGTCTCTTTCAAGAATTCCACCGAGATGGCAGCCAACCACTTGAATACCAACAAAGCTGGAAAACTTAGCTAACACAAGCCTTGCTAAATATGTACCTTAAATGGGACCATCATAATTAATATTGTAGCAATAAGGTTTAAGTAAAATGGAAAAGCTTACAATTCATAAAATATGATTGTTCTATTGAGTCATATGTAAAACATAAAGCCATGTTTCTCTTCTAAAACATGCTCAAGACAGAGTCTCACTCTGTGCCCCATGCTGGAGTACAGCGGCACCATCTCAGTTCACTGCAACCTCCGCCTCCTGGGTTCAAACGATGCTCGTGCCCCACCTCCCAAGTAACTGGGATTACAGGCACCTGCCACCATGCCCAGCTAATGTTTGTATTTTTTTTTAGTAGAGACAGGGTTTCACAATGTTGCCCAGGCTAGCCTTGAACTCCTGACCTCAGGTGACCCACCCACCTTGGCCTCCCAAAGTGTTGGGATTACAGGTGTGAGTCACTGGGCCCAGCCTGTAAAACATTTTCTTAAAGAAGGACCTACTGACATACTAGACTGCAAGTAGTCCACATTACTGAGTTGCTGCTGCATTCGAGTCTGGTAGACTTGTCTGGAACACCAGTGCAAATGGAGGCAAGTGTCACTGTAGACTCAACATACCACAGCCCAAAAGCCCAGACCAAGACAACTATCTCTGACCCATGATATCAATTCTGAATAAAGAATTAATTTTTAATTCTTAGCCTATGAGATCCTATACCTTTCATGCTAAAACAGTTAAGTCTTTAGAATCTTTTTAAAGACATGGAAGGGCCTGAATATTACTGCAGAAAGATGACCTTTACTGAGAAATGAAAGTGAACATTGGCTGCTTCACTCAGTAACGTCTCCTACCTCTTGTTATTGAACAGACCCTTTCCACAACCCAAAACCCCATTCTGCCTGTAGCTAAAACAAGACTACCTTGATGAACAAAACCAAGAGCTACTTTAGAGGTGACACTGCCTTTTCATTTGAAGCCCATTTCTTTAATAAATTTTATTGAGTACCAATACATTATCAGCATCAGCTGGGCACGGTGGCTCATGCCTGTAATCCCAGCACTTTGGGAGGCTGAGGCAGGTGGATCACTTGAGATCAGGAGTTTGAGACCAGCCTGGCCAACATGGTGAAACCCGTCTCTACCAAAAAAACAAAAAATTACCTGGGTGTGGTGGCACACAACTGTGATCCCAGCTACTCGAGAGGCTGAGACAGGGGAATCACTTGAACCCAGGAGGTGGAAGTTGAAATGAGCCAAGATCGTGCCACTGTACTCTAGCTTGGGCAACAGAGCAGGACTCTGTCTTAAAAAAAAAAAAAAACTTATCAAGGATACAATAGAAATAAACCCTCAGAACTTACAGACACGAAACAAGAACACCAATCAACAATTGCAAGCCATGATCATCACAATGAAGAAGTCCACATTCAGGACAACAAGTAGACTGAGTAGCTAAACAGTCTGGAGGAGGCTTTGGGGGCGTTCTACAAGGAAAGGGAGTTTGCATTGAGACACAAGGGATGGGTGGCAGGTAAGCAGGCAAAGGGGCTAGGAGAGAGGGAGAGAGGGCTGGTCCAAGTAAAGGCCACGGCAAGGTCCTCATGGGCTGAGAGGAAGCGGAGCTGGAGTTCCCCGAACAAGGAGAAGGCCCCATGCAGAGCCTGGAGACCCAGGCAGGAGGTGGGCAGAATCCTAGGGGTTTTAAAAACTTTAATCCTAAAAAGAGGATAGGCAGCCATAGAAAAGCTTTAAGCAGGTGAGTACACTCAGGCCAAAAACCAATACTCACTCATTACATTCTAATAGCAGTTTTTGGTAAACAGAATAATGAACCCAGAAAGATGTGCACTTCCTTACTCATGAAACCTGTGACTATGTTACCTTAAATGGCAAACAGGACTTAGCAGAGGTGATAAAGGATTTTGAAACAGGGAGATGGTCCTGAATTATCTAGGTGGATCTAATGTAATCACAAGAGTCCTTATAAAGGAAAGGAGGTCACAGGAGAGTCACTGGAGAAGATGTGATGACAGAAACAGATGTTAGACTATTGCAGGGCCCCAACCCAAAGAGCATGAGTGGCTTCTAGAATTTTGTTTTTTGAAACAGAGTCTCTGTCACCCAGGCTGGAGTGCAGTGGCACAATCTTGGCTCACTGCAACCTCTGACTCCCAGGTTCAACGAATTCTCCTGCCTCAGCCTCCCAAGTAACTGGGATTACAGGCACCTGCCACCACACCTGGCTAAGTTTTGTATTTTCAGTCGAGATGAGGTTTCACCATACTGGCCAGGTTGGTCTCTAACTCCTGACCTCAGGTGATCCATCCACCTCAACCTCCCAAAGTGCTGGGATTATAGGAGTGAGCCCCATCCATGGCCAGCCTCTAGAATTTAGAGAAAGGCAAGGAAATGGATACTACCCCAAATCTTCCAGAAGGAATGCAGTTTTGCCAACCCCTTGACACAGCACAGTGAAACTAAATTGAGACTTCTGACCTCCAAAATTTTAAGAGAATGTGGTTTTAAGCCGTTCAGTTTGTGGTAATTTTTATAGCAGCAATAGGAATCACAAGAGCATAAAGTTTACTCTGACTGCAGGGAGGAGAAAGGATTCAGCAAAGAGAGAAAGGATGCAGAGAGACCAGTTAGGAGGTGGCTGCTGTAATCTGGGCAATGCAATGATGGTCACTTGGGTACCAGGTGGAGCTGGTATATGGCGTTTTAGAGATAGTCTATTCTAGAGGTAACCATCTACATGAGTCAGGAAGAAAAAGTAGCAAAATAAGACAAGTATCACATAATAATAGGCAATATAAATTAAGCACTATGTCTTAAACATTTTTTATATTTTAACGCTTGTAATCTTTACAATACCTCTACACAATCTCTCATACAAGAGACAAAAAGATCAGAATATACAAAGGCATTACTTTTTTCTATACTACCATCTTATTCTAAAAAAAATGAAGCAGTAAGAAATTTTTACCATTTTTCAAAATAATACATCATTTCATTTTATTTCCTCTTCTAGAATTAGGCTCCATCATAGAGACAATGTCTGCTTTGTCCATTGCCTTACACCTAGCTCCTAGTGGGTGCTCAGTACATTATTTGTTGAAAATGACTCTAGTCTGTCTCATCTACCGGGGGCAGTATAACATCTTACAACACAGCATAGTCTCAAGGATTATGAAAACAAAGGAGGCTCTCATTACCCCGACTAGCTACAAATATATAAATAAATCTAAGAATGAAAACAGCATTCCCTATGCACTGTGATTTTGTTGATTGTTTTGTTTCTAGGTATTTGACTCTCTGCTCCTATTTCTAGGTCCTAAGGCCCCTCGAGAGCTGAGATTACTTTCATGTTTCACACACCTTGGGAGGATTTTAATCACAATCAAAAATAATTCAATTCAGAACTCCAAAGAACAATCTGTAGTAATCTATACAGGCAATGGAAGTGATTCTGGAATAAGACTAAACATGGGTTGTTCTTTGTTTTGTAGTCCATTTCCTAGGCCTTTCATTGCAAATTTAGCAATTGCAGAACTTACACTGCACTCACAGTTTCAAATTAAAGTTACTAGCAAGTGGTGAGCGACAGTTCTTCAATCCCTCTTCAACGTGAGATTTCCCAAGGTTCTGGCTCCACTGCCACAGCTGTGACCCAGACGGTCATCTCTACCATAATTTACTGCACTAGCCCCTTAGTTGTTCCCTCTTACGCTTCTTATCCCAATACAATCCATTCTCACCACTTCTAGATGATCTTTCTCAAGCACAAATCTGAGGTCATCCCCTGCTGGCTCTTGGGCAAGACTCTTCAAGACCTGACCTCAGCCTACTTCATGCACATCACTTGGTCTCTTCCCTGCCCTCTTACTGTCACACCCAGTGCTCCCTGAAGGGAAGGCAATCTCTCACACTCAGGTATTTGCATGTACTGCTTACCTGGCCTCTCAACACTGTCCCCATCCCTCTCTCTTCCCTAACTGCCCCACCTCCCTGCCGGCCCTGCCCTAGTCCTACTTACTCATCAGTTCTCAGTTCAGGGATGGCTCCCGCCAGGAAGCTTTCCCTGACTGCCATTCTGCATACAACATCCCCGCTTCTCAGTTTGCAGACTGCTTATACACATAGAGTCTTAAGGACTATACTGCACTCTGTTTATAACTTTATCTTCCTCACTAGGCTGCCAACTCATAGAAAGCAAAAACTATGTCCCAGAACTTACCACATACTCAACTTTCAGTAACATAGTAGAAATAACACCTAAAACATATGGAATGTTTGCTAGGTACCAGGCAATCAATATGTAGACTATTTCACCTGCAATATCTCAATATCCATATCAGCTCTATAAAGCACATTATCATCATCTCAGCTTTACACATGAGGACACAGGCAGTAACCTGCCCATAATCACACAGCTCAGAGACTAAGGGACCAAGCTGTGACCTCCAGTCTGACTTTGGAGCCTATAACTTTAGCCTCTGTAAATAATGCATCAACACTGTCTCTGAGAGGAAGGTGGAAAA